ACCCATGTGTGTAGAAATACACAGTGTTTCTGATATTATCGTATTTTTTGACAGTTATAGAAAAAGTGAATTGCATCTTCAAGGTGATATCCACAAGTGCAGTCTGGTATGTCTGATACATGTCGTCTAAACTTATCAGCGTTTAAGTCACTGCAGCCGAGCCTAAGGCGACAGTGGACAATTTGGCATGATCTATGAAAATATTTGAAGTCAAAATTATTAGTAATTGCATCAGAACGATTAATTAATGATTTGATTTCTTTTAATGAGCGAGCATTAGTTACTTCATCGGATAGAGGGTTCCGCAGGTTGATCATATCCAGAAGAAATTATTATTAAGCATAGGTCTGTGTTCTACATTTGATTGTTTGTATGTTGAATCTATTTCTAAGGTTATATTTGCTGTTATCAGAGAATTGAATATACACTTTTCAAATATTTTGGCTAAGCAACTTGTGAGTGCTACAAGTCTATAATTTGAGTATTCATGTTCATCGCTGACACTGACACCGCATCAGCCCGGCAGTGGACTTGACACAGTTATTTGCGCACCGATTATATAACTCCTACAGACAGGGTGGGGTGGTTGTTTAAAGCGAAACGGACGACCCCGTCTGTTATGTAATATATGCTGTGCGGCGTCTTTGATCTTGCCTCAAAACATACACCTTATAGTAGTAAACGACGATCAGGATGGCCTGGAAATAAACACAATTCTGTCTGCCCAGTGTATCCACAATTAACTAGAATGCTTCATATCCACAAATATATATATATAAAATAGATATTTGCCCACAGCAAATATTCATTTGCTTAATTGCATCAATGTGGTTTATCAGAACATGTACAATGCTTTCTTACGCTTGGTGAGGCAGACTGAAATTGAACATTAGGATAACGTCAGCAGGGATAAAAGAGGTCATACCAAAGAACTTTATTTACTAGTGGAATAGTCAGACATTCCGATCAACCACTACAAGGCCCGGCCGGATCTCAAGGTTGACCAGATCAACACCCCAAAGAAACATCTCTACGCCAAACAAGGAGTCCCTTTCGTCATGGTGCACAAGAAGGGGGGACAGGACATCGAGTACGACATCACAAACTACACAGACTTGTACCACTTCTTCCAGAGTAGTGGCGTACCGACCTCAAACCACTTCGTCGCCAATACCGCCGCCCTCCTTGCTAAGAGTCTCTACCAGAATCCCGACCCCCAGGATGAGAAGCTGACCAAGAGACTACTAGAAGGATACCACCTCTAGACTTCAAGCCACACATGCTCGCCAGCCGACGCCGTGCCTTCCCACGCTTGCCCCCCCACCCCCAGGCCCAAACTTTTCCATATTATTGAATATTCTTTTATCACCCACTCCCACCCAGCCAAACCCCAACCCCCTTAACTTTATTAGAATAGGCTGTAAACTTATAATTTTTTTTTTGGGGGGGGTGCACTTCTTTATTTAATCATTACGCTTTTTTACCCTAATAGTATAAGTGCTTCCCCGTGTGCGAGATAGGCTTAAGTCGGAAAGCGCACGTTAAATCTCCGAGGTACCTATCTACCAGAACTTTATTTGCTGTTCTGGTCATACATAAATATATGTAAGTTACGTACATGGGGAGGCTATTATTATTTACAGCTAACAGCAATATAGTGCAAATATTATGTTCAATAAAAGAAAACGTTGATAGATCTATAACACACTTTTTGTACTATTAAACAAACTGTGGACTTTTAAGACATTTTCGCTTATTGTAATAACATCTAGCTAACAAATCATGTCTATCTCTGAAATCCACAAGCATAGTTGCTGTCAAACCTAAAAAACATATTCAGGGAGGTCAGTTTTGACTTGCCAAGCACCTTAAGGTGAGTTTATTTTTAAACTGGCAAAAGCGATTGTCCCTTCAATACTAGTATATGGCTGGAAGCTGTTTCTCAGACTGTTATGAGTTATGATGTATTTTATGATATTACTGGGGAATGTTCAAATTAGTTACTGTCATTTAATCCAACGTTCTAACTGTCAACTGTCTCAACAGGACCATAGGTTTGGTTATATATCTCCTCCCTGTCTCTATGTCTTCAGTTGTTAATCGGTAACTGCGGTCCAAATGTATCAACTTATTCATCTATTGTTGCAAACTTGACTGATTTAAACATATCTAATTGATCATGAACTACTCAGTCAGTCAAGCACCTGTATCAGAAATGTAAAACCAGCCATGTTTCATGTAGTCCCAATATCACTAAAAAAAAGGCCGATGAAACGTGACATATAAATTTACTCACAGACAATATATTTTTCGTGAGAGTGAAGCACAATTTTATTAAAGTTTTATTAACAATTTCATAAACTATAATAATATTAATATTAAAATTCATCATCACTTGCCAAGTTTATGAACATGTCCCCATTTGGGAGATGTCACATATAAACAAGGATTCGAACTAAGTTTGATCGTCTTTGACACTGAGGTTTATCCCCACTTTGCCAGCAAACTGCAGAAGATTAACAGTGAGTGAGCATCGTTTCTATGTTTATACAATAATAGATGTTATGCCAAAAACGCTCACAGTAGTTAGTGAGTAAACTCACGACCTGTCATGACCTGGTTGAGTGACTTCCTCCAATCAACGTGAAAGGATTACCCACAGAGAAAGACAGGATTAAATTTACCCATAAATCTTATCCTAACGTAGTACTCCAACTTCTAAATGCCTCCCAAAGAAGGATTAAAATCCTAAATATATCCTATCTACGTAGTATAGGTACTCACAACCTCTAATAATAAACTGTTACGTTTGGTATCCCCAGCAATACTCACTATGGTCATTGGGCAAATGTAAAAATCACAAACCCTAACGAGATTCTGTCTACATGGTCACACCCGGTGATTGTGAAGATCTCAAATTCTATCAACAGTCAGACAGCATGGCTGTTCATATTCATTTACAACATCCTCTTATAATTAGTATAAAAGTGTCCCACACAAAACCTTCTTTTATTTATTCTTTCAAAATACAAAACAGAAAGTGGGGTGTGGGGAAATGGGACATATTCCTACGTGAAATAATGAGACATTAGTAGTGGTGAAGGCTATATCATAATTGTACTGTCTAAAGTATAAATTTGGCGAACGAAAAACGTTATATTTGCAATCAAATGGAATTACTCGTGTGGGCAAATGAATATGTTCGCAAATCCACAAACAATCATTTTATTAATGGCGAACATTTACCAACCCGCGACAATCGTGTCAACACGGGGGTTCCCCTAGCAATAAACTTGCATCTAAATTCACTACTGTTCTACTGTCGGCTAGCCACAATGGCTAGACGGGACCCTAGTGGAATGGTTCATGCCATAAAAGTCTAACAACCGAACACTAATTAAGATGGGCCGACCTTGTATTTACGGTCTGGTGAACACAGCTCAATGGCCGCTCATTAACTAAAATTTCACATCTCACTGTTTTGTTTTATCTCACTATTCATTTGATAATTTTGTCAACTTCAACTGGAACCCGGTCCCGTGTTACACGCGTGGCACACGCGTGTGCAACGGGTTGCACACGCGATGCACACCCGTTGCACACCCGTGTGCAACGGGTGCTCACCCCGTGTGCAACCCGTTGAGCACCCGTGTCACATGCGTGTTACACGCGTTCTCAACGCGTGTTAGGGGAATGAACTTTTAGGCAGTAGTGTATGTAGCGGGGGGAAGCTCCTCCACAGCACTAGAATAAACTATATCCTGCATCCTCCGCCTAGTGTCACTCTTCCCCCATCCAGGATAGACTGGTACCTAACCTGCTTACAGACTCCTTATGCGCATCGTCAACTTGCGCCAAAGATAAAGTGTGATATGAGAGACGGAGCACAGCGGCGGCACAAGTAATTTCTCTAGGGCAAACAAGTCTAAGATAAGGACTACAGTCACCCACTATGTGACTTTGGGTCGCTCCTCTCAGCTTTCGGTTCGGCGAGTCATGGCAACTTTCCAAAGGTAGAATATTTGCAGTAATAGCGGTGAGTATTGGTACCATTATTGAATGCCGTGCCCTACCATGCTTTATTTGGTGTTGTTTTTGTTTGATGTCAGTTTTAAAAGATACCTTATCACCCTTTTTACAGGGCCTTATGCTAAGGCTAATGGTTAAACCATTCCTAACTGTACATCTGTACACTAAATATGTCCTTGTGAGTCGGGCATTATGATAAAAGGGGGACAAACTCTTTGATATGAGTAACGAGTTAGACTTAAACATTGTTTTTAAAGAAACCATATGTTAGTCTCAAAACGTATAATGACATGTGTACATATGAAATGCTTAAATCATAATGAAAATATTTTCTTAAACTATAAAATTATTATCCTTAACACGTTATCACTGTTATCAAGGGGGCAGGCGTGAATGTTGACCTGTTTTCCGTGTAGCGATATGTGAGGACTTTGTACAGCGTGAATAATTGACGTGTCAGGGCAAAGGAGTAAACATACAGTACGCTTAGCATAAGGGAGATAACTCTCCTTGAGAAACATGATTCAGGATTGTACCTAAGCTACGAACTCACAACATTATGGGTTTCAGTTTGAACAATGTGTGCATGACAGATATTTACAGATACATTTTGAGCCCCTCTGCCACCTCCAAAAGCACCAAATATCAGTATGTTTTAGTAAAGTGGGAGAACTATGACAAATGCATGTAAAACTTTGTAAAAATAAGTCTACATGCAGCGATCATTGTGAGTAAAAAGTAATGTATCCTTTGTTTATGTTATCTGTTGGATTTCGCCATTCTGTGACAACGGGACCAAGAAACATAGTACGTTTTTCTTCCTGACGCCACTGGGCTAGTTTCGTTATCTCAGTTACCAACATCGCATCTATATTAGTATACACACTTAACTATTCGTTCTCAAATTCAACCCGACAATAAATAGTCACACAGTGATGATTACAGACAAGCAAAAATCCGTCGACACTTACTGTGTTGTATTATTAGGAAATGCGTGGACGAGCTCCGGCCCCTGTCAACACGTCAAGACAAGTCTCGATGCAGCTAGTCCTAGCTCCTCACAGCAATGCCTCGTTCCCAGTGCTACCTTGTATTTAAATAGAGGAAGGAAGCTCCTCAACAGCACTAGCGTAGACTGTTTCCCGCATCCTTCGCTTGGTGTCGCTGCTCTCGACTCGCCCCTTTCCGTAACCTACAATATTCGGCTTGTCCCGGAAAAACAGGAGTTGGTCACGAATGCCAAGAGAAAGATATATATATATATATATATACTGGTTACCGTCTCACTATGCGCTTCGTCAACTTGCACCAATCTTATATTGTGGTAAGCAATGAGATTAGAAGGTAAACCACAGACGCTACCGATCACGCCTGCTATTCTTCTAAAGATACGTCATAAATTAGACCTGACCTCACTCTTCAACATAGCTTTCTGGTCAGCCAGTGTGGTGGGCTTTTCACATTTTTAAGAAAATCGACTCTGTTGCCCTCCAATGTGGAAAACCCAAACCACTCACAAGTTGTGTATTCGTGACGTCACATGGTGTAGTGATAAAGTGCTCTTAACAATTAGACATAGCAAAACTATCCAGTTTGGTCAAGGATTCTGCAAGTTCCCTTGTGTAACGTGGCCAGCTCACTCTTGTGTCCAGTAACAGCTTTACAATCTCTTCGCCAGGTCCAGAACATGATACCGGTGACATGCCATGTGTTCTCATTCTTACACACAGCTCGGGTTGACTGTGTGACTCACGATATGTTTGTCAAGGCGTTGCGCCGTGTGCTAGCGGCATGTGGGTTCACCTCAAGATTACAGTGGACATTCCTTCCGAGGGGAGGCTGTACTTACACGGTGACTGGAAGTCAAACGACTTTGGGCGTTATATCACAATTGAAAAGGACTTGCACTGTAAATTCGCACGACCTTTAGCTCTAGCAGCTATCTTAAGTTAAAAAATGAAGAAAAAAAAACGTTTGGGGGATTTTGAGGTATTTTTACATTGTCTTAACACACAATTTTTTTATTGTCAATTAAATATTGACCTATTCCCCCCAAACGGTTCTTTGTCTTTTCTACCAATGGACGACGGAGGCGGGGCAGATAACGTGAGACGGCTCTCCAGAATCTCTGTGATCGGGGTTAGAATCTTAGTTTGACAATGAGTATGGTTCCAGACCCGAGTTCGTGGCATTCACCTGCGTTACATCCCGTCCCTCCGACATTCATCTGACACGCCGTGATATATCCAAGATACAGCCAACAACTCTCTCTCTCTCACACACACACACACACATTCACCGAACCCGAAGTCCTTCATTGCCTGGATGCCATAGTGCAGAGCTGTACCACAGCTGCCGCCTGGAACCACATTTAGAACTTGTACAGCACATGAACCACATTTAGAACTTGTACTCCACATGAACCACATTTATGACTTGTACTCCACGTGAACCACATGTATAACTTGTACTCCACATGAACCACATTTATAACTTGTCCATCACCTGAACCACATGAAGAAATTGTACATCACGCGAACCACTTTTATAACTTGAACACCATATTAACCATATTAATAATTTGTACACAGCATGAACTACATTTACAAAACAGTCGTCATGTGACTGTGACTCGTGGCAATCACCGAGGCCTATAGCGGGATTGTGACTTTGACTAGCGGCCATCGTGGAAGCCTACAGTCAGAATGTGACTGTGACTCGTGGCCATCACCGAGGTCTACATCGAGTTTGTGACTGTGTCTCATGGCAATCGCCGAGGCTTACATCTAGTTTGTGACTGTGACAAGCGGCCATCATGGCAGCCTACAGTCAGAATGTGACTCTGACTCCTGGCAATCGCCGAGGCCTAAAGCGAGTTTGTGACTGTGACAAGCGGCCATCTTGGAGGCCTATAGTCAGAATGTGACTGTGACTCGTGGCAATCGCCGAGGCCTACAGCGAGTTTGTGACTATGACTCGTGGCAATCGCCGAGGCCTACAGCGAGTTTGTGACTGTGACAAGCGGCCATCTTGGAGGCCTATAGTCAGAATGTGACTGTGACTCGTGGCAATCGCCGAGGCCTACAGCGAGTTTGTGACTATGACTCGTGGCAATCGCCGAGGCCTACAGCGAGTTTGTGACTGTGACAAGCGGCCATCGTGGCTGCCTACAGTCAGAATGTGACTGTGACTCGTGGCAATCGCCCAGGCCTAAAGCGAGTTTGTGACTGTGACAAGCGGCCATCGTGGAGGCCTATAGTCAGAATGTGACTGTGACTCGTGGCAATCGCCGAGGCCTATAGCGGGATTGTGACTTTGACTAGCGGCCATCGTGGAAGCCTACAGTCAGAATGTGACTGTGACTCGTGGCCATCGCCGAGGTCTACATCGAGTTTGTGACTGTGTCTCGTGGCAATCACCGAGGCCTACATCCAGTTTGTGACTGTGACAAGCGGCCATCGTGGCTGCCTACAGTCAGAATGTGACTGTGACTCGTGGCAATCACCGAGGCCTATAGCGGGATTGTGACTTTGACTAGCGGCCATCGTGGAAGCCTACAGTCAGAATGTGACTGTGACTCGTGGCCATCGCCGAGGTCTACATCGAGTTTGTGACTGTGTCTCAAGGCAATCGCCGAGGCTTACATCCAGTTTGTGACTGTGACAAGCGGCCATCATGGCAGCCTACAGTCAGAATGTGACTCTGACTCCTGGCAATCGCCGAGGCCTAAAGCGAGTTTGTGACCGTGACAAGCGGCCATCTTGGAGGCCTATAGTCAGAATGTGACTGTGACTCGTGGCAATCGCCGAGGCCTACAGCGAGTTTGTGACTATGACTCGTGGCAATCGCCGAGGCCTACAGCGAGTTTGTTACTGTGACTCGTGGCAATCGCCGAGGCCTACAATCGCCGATGTCTCTAACCGATGACGTTGCGTCATCAACACACAACATCGACTTCAGAGACATAGTTTTGACATTGTACGCGTCTTTCTTCAGGTTCTGTCAAATGGTGGCAATGGATATTTCCGTTGATCCTCATAATTCAGAGCTCATTCACCAATTATTTTGCAAGCATCAACAATGTCTTTTGAAAATTGATCAAATCTGTAAGTTTCATTCGGATTTTTTTTTATAATTGACAGGGCTACACTTGAATGGATACAGGCCCCTACCGAGGGTGTTTAACTGCCCTGTCTGTCACACGCTGTCGAAACGAAATCCTTCCTGATCCCCTCAACCTCGAACTTTCCCTTTTGGTTCAATTCTGCTGGCTCAGCGATCAGTGAATCATAGGTGAGGTGAAATTTGGTTTAACGTCGCGTCCAAGATTATTGCACTTATATAGCGACGTGCATGCACGTGTATGTGTGTGTGTGGCTGCTTGTTCTAGTCCGGACTGATGCCGATTTATAGTGCTAGCTCACTGAGATACCATGCCGCAGTTTAACATGAATACCCCACTCAGACACAGTATACTGACTCCGAGCCGACCAGTCCTTGTTTTAGCCCCTTAATGCCGAGCGCCAGACAGGGTAACAACAAGTACAATCTTTTAACGTCTTTTTGTATGACGCGGCCCGGGATCGAACCCTGGACCTTCCGCTCTCTGGGCGGACGCTCTACCACAAGACCATGGAGGCGATCGGGAGGAGAATAGAAAATGCTAGCGAGGGTGTCACCATACAGATAACGAAGCTCCAGGAACCAGCTGGTAAATTAAACATATATTTGTACGTGATTATGGATGCACAACTTAATATACAGAATAGGCGATTCGTGCAAGCAATCTATTAATAATCTTTTACCTAAAGATCCGCACTGCGCTATCATATGCGGGCAAACGGGCTGCGGAAAAACAGCTTTTATTCTAGATATTTTAGAAAGTCATTATAGGGACGTTTTTGACCATATTATTATTCTGTGCCCGACTATAAGCGTTAATAAAACCTACCTATCGAGAGATTGGGTAATGAATGACGACGTGGTACACAGAGTCGATCCGGGCGATCGTTTACAAGACTGCCTCCGAGTATGTCACGAAAGAAACAAAGGAGAATCAACCCTTTTCGTAATAGACGATTGCAGCGCGAGTAAAGAACTAACAAAAAAGAAAGATATGCTTTCGTATTTAGCATTCTCCGGACGGCATACTCAGCATAGCGTTTGGGTACTTACTCAAAAATACAACTCTGTTTCATTGCAAAGACCGAGATTCATTCAACCGATCAACCAGCTGCTTATGCAATTGCTTAGCAAAATGTAGCAAAATAGTGGCAAAATTATAGCAAATATAGAAAAAATGTAACAAATATAGCAAGATTATAGCAAATGTAGCACAATTATAGCAAAAATACAATAAATTGAACATTAGCGGTTAATATGACATAATGTGGTTTGAAATCCTCATTCTTTCGCAACAGTTCATTATTACGGGTTGTATTGGATATGTCATATTATATTATGTTAGACTTAAATATCTCCTTAGGTATTACATTATGGAATGCGACGAACTCATCGAACAAATGCTCAAAGAATCTGAGTCTGATCAAAATGTAGATAAATCTTTAGATAAATCTTTAGATAAATCTTTAGATAAACATAGAGAAAGACTCGCCGCTTTGGTAGCCGGTGGAAAATGTTCCCAATATTTGGGAGAAAATTATACCATTGAAAAAATTGATAACATGACCGACGAAGAAATTAAAAACTGTACGCGAGTTCCGAGTCTAGACTGGGAGCTACCATGACTAAAACGATAGGGTCGGCTATGTTACAACTATACACAGTCGTAGCTAGTACGTTTCTCCCCATCCCTGCAGAACATCGCATGTATTTATGCGAATCTCTAGCGAAAGACCCATTCATCGAACACGCTATAAGCTCAGTGAGCTGTATGTTTTATCATAGATACGGAATGTTCTTAGCTCCACTCACCACAGCTTTAATAAGGGCTAGGTATTGTCAATTTAAACATACGTGCCCACTTAATAATAATGGAGACTCAACAGGTGACACCACAACAGATTGTGAACACACAACAACAAGTGAACGAGGAACAACAGATTGCGGAACAACGAGTGAATGAGGAACCACCACATGTGAATGAGAAAATACTAATACCCAGAGTGACAAAGAATCCTTTGAAAATAGCCGCAGGAAGAAAGGGAGTACTGGCGCGCAAAGCGAAATTAATAAATAATTCAAATATTAATCCGATTAAA